CATTTTCCTGAGCGTTAAGTTGTGACTGTACTTCTGCTCCTGCAGAGAAGAGCAGCAAGGCTTCCTTGGACTTCGGTGGCAATGATACTGGTCCGGCAAGCTGATTTTTTTTTCAGTCCAGGAAAAAAAAAGGTGTTACTTAGAAAGCGTTTTAAAGTCAGTAGAAACACAGCTGCCTGGCTACTGCTAATATTTTGTTTTATTATGATTGTCTTTCCTGAGGCGAGTTCAGTAATTAGATACCCCAGGAGCAGAAAAACATCAGGGCGCAGCGAGGGCAGGCGGCTGCTCCCTTGGGGCCTGGGCCGTGGGGGCTCCCCTGGAGGCAGCAGGGCAGGGCCTGGTAGCCAGGGCCTGTCCCACTGCCCCAGCCAGGAGCAGGGCAGCCGGCGGGCAGCTGCAACCCCGGGCATCAGGCACCTCCCTGGGAATGGGCCGAGGCCAGACTGGGTTGTCAGTCTGCTGGGCTGTGGGGAGCTGGAGACTGGCACTGCCGCAGCGTCGCTGGGGCAGGGACTGACGGCCCCGAGGGGCTGAAGGGGGACCCTGGGCAGGTGGGGGCAGGCCCCAGGGGTTGGGCAGGGACAGTCAGGGCTGTTGGTGCCCTCAGGGACATGCCAAAGAAGAGCTATTTTGACTAATGATTGTGCCCATGTTTCCTTCTGTAGTTTTCATGTCCTTTTTTTCCCTTCTCTGATGGAACTCTGTAAAGGATAGGACTTGTCCTTTTTTTGTAATTTTTATTACAGCAGTCATTTGTGTTATTCATAATGTTATGACTACAGGTTCGCCAGACTGTCTGTCTGTTGAAACAACTGTGGCCTGAAGGATCTGACATTCGGTGTGTGGTCTGTGTTCTTGCTTGTGCCGTGGGATTAAAAATATACAGCAGCATGCTGGAAAATGCAGATACTTCCATGGGAGCAAAGACAGAGCAATCAGCAAGAGTAAGAATTTTTTGAATATATTTTCAGCACAGTGACCATTTTGCTAACAGGAGAGATGGCTGTCCTTCTAGATCCCAAGCTGAAGAGAGGCCCTGCTGCTTACTTTGTTACTGCACTCTGTAGGCGGTCTGGTTCAGATAATTACTTGGCCACATCTTTTCCAAAGGAGCGTGGTCTCTCTGTGGGTGGCACTGTGCCCCCTGCCGCAGTGGCTGTTCCTGGGGGAAGTTTTACCTTAGGACCAATTACTTCCATAGGAAGTTTTACCTTAGAAGGTAGTTGTGCTCATTATTTTTCTTTTCCTAAAGTTCAGTGGCATACTAGCTTTTACAGAAGAATACACTTTTCCTCAAGTTAGCAAGACATTTCAGAAAAAAGATTTCTTTCTAGATGCGGTCATGACATCATTTTTGTGACCATGCTGCAAGCCTTATATTTTCATCAAGTTAACACAGACGCATTTTGAGACACATATTCAGTGGACTACAGGATAGCTACAAGTGATTAGCACAGCTCTATTTTTGTACAGACTTTGCTGTGCAGTTGAGAAAAGAGCGTAGGCCTGTATCTAGATATTAACTTTTCCTCTTAAAATAATAACATTTCTAGCCAGACACACTGACAATTTTTTTTAAGTTTTGTCTTGATTTTCATAGTCATATTCTTTCTGGAAAAGAGATTTTTTTTTTTTTTTTTACATTATAACTGATCTGCATCTACCAACATACAAGAATGTTCATTTTGCGGTAAATGTATCCACAAGTAATTACAATGCACAAATTGTTTAAATAGATCAAAATTATTAGCTGCTTTAACAAAGTACAAACCACTGAATTAAGCACAGGTGAACACAATTATTTTACTGAAGGACGTGGTCAACTTTTTATCTATCATCTCTCAACAGGGAAGAAGTAAACCCCTATCTCCAGAAGAAGCAGCTGACCTCTGTAGAATGCAATGTCTTACAGTGGCTTTTCTTCTTCATATGCCTCTTTCACAGAGAGCTCAGATTAGGATCATGAAATCCTGCTGGACTAAGCAAGTTTTACCATTAATAAAAATGGTATGTATAGCACTGTCTTACTTCCCCTGTCAGCAGGTGCAATTATCATTTCAGTTTTCATTTTCCTTATATGCTACTTTAGTCGTCTGATGAGATCAAAGAACGTAATGTACCTGCTGGAAACAAACCTTAGCTGGTTCAGGAATCTTAAGCCACAAATCAGTGGGGCTAAGAGAATGTGTGGGGCAATATTTCTATACTTGACCTCTTCCTAGACATCTCCAGTTAGCCAGCGTTAGTGTTAGGTGGCTGGGCTAGATGGACCTTTTGGTCTCATCCAGTATGGGAAGTTTGATGGCAGGCCTTTTTATTGTTTAAAGTTGGTTATTACAGTGAAGGCAGTTTCCTGATCACAGAGAAGTCAAGTAACTGTGTTGTTTTTCATGTCAATAAAATCTGTGGTAGCTAACCTTGCTTTGGAAATGCTTTGATCCCTCCACATGAAAAGGTGCTCCATAAGAATTGTTTGCTTTATTTTAACAGCAACAGTTGTGTACGCATTTTGCTCTGACACAGCTAAGTGCTACAAATGATTGGAAATTGGATTTAACTTACCTGCCTGACTTAAATGATGATTCACTGCTCATGAATCTTGCACATTACTATGAGGTCGAATACACTAAAGGTATTTATCTTTGTTGAACAGTTTGCTTTCTTACATTTCTAACTTTATTAAGCTGCAAAATGAGAATGAAACTGCTTGTACAAGCAGAAATGAGCACAATTTTCTAATTACCCATATAATAATAGATACATTTTATGGAATAATAGGGAAACTTTTTTCTATAGCCAAGTCTAGAAAATCACATGTAAAAGTGTCTTTCACCAGTACTCGTTCAGAATACTTTACCATGTTATATCTTTGATGTGCCACCTGTACTTATGCAAAGGAAGAGTGATATAGCATAGGTAGTAAGAGCTCTCTGTCGCTGTTATTTGGTATGCCAGACCCTTTGGTTTTCTATCCATTTCATTTTGTCTTAGTACAACACAGTCAGAATGGAAACTAGATTCGATCCCTAATGTCACTGTGACGTTGGATAACATTTTTAATTTCGGATGAGATTCATTCAGACAAAATCATGTATTGTCTTGTAAATACATGAATTTGGGAGCTGGAGCTTTAAGAACACCATCAGATGTGTTAAAATTCACAAAAAAGTTACAAAAGCTGACAGAGCAAGAAAGGATGGAAAAAGATTTGTAGCAAATGTTCCTTCAGGGTAATTCTGTTTACCTGAAATCCTCTGCCATGAGTCTGTCTGTCTGATAGTAAACCAGAACACTTTCTTTATTAATCTAGTCACAAGATGTCCTGTATGTACCTCAGTAAAGCAAGTGTAGAGGAATTTTTAAAGGAAATATAAGTTAGGAATATGAAACATTTATTTTTATAATGATACCTATTATTGGGCACTAAAAAGAAAATTCTCAATTCAAGATCCTACCTTGCAGGAGGTGAAGGTGAGAGAAACTCTTCTTTAGCTGTGGAGCTTGCAGACTTCCACAGACAGTCTAAATCTGGTGTTCTTTCCAAAATACATCTCAGTACATTTAGTTATTTATACCGTGGGCTATTAAAAACTGTGAATGTACAACATTCTGTCCTAATTTGTTCTAATGACCAAAGACCTTGGCTAGGACTGAAGTCTTTGTGCCTGATGCTGCATAGGTGAATAGGTAGGTTCTGTTTGAGGAAACTTTTAATTTTAAAGCTTTTTTTTTTCCTTTCTTTCTTTCTTTCCTCCCTCCCTGCGCAGGATTAGAGTTCAAAAAGGAATTGGGGAAAGAAGTGGAGAATGAATACCAATGTTTATGGGACACTGTAACAAAATTGGCTGTGAAATACAATTTTGGAGATGCTTTCCCAATACGAAAGACGTCCCAACTATTTCTTGAACAGGAACAGACATTATTTAGAGGTACTGACAACTCCACAAATTAGAGAGTTAGAAGCATGATTTTCATTACTATCACTAAAAGTTCCAGGAGTAGTGATCTGATTTTATCCTGATCACAAATCTAATCCATGCTTTATGGATCCTCTCCTCCTTCCTTTCAACTCACTAGCAAAACTCACAGCTGATGCCAAAATAAGTCTGACATCTTTCACCTTATGGGTGAAATTCTGACTCCACCGTAGACAGCACAAGCATTGTTATTGACTTCAGTAGGAATTGGGTTTAGTTCCATGATTGCTAGCCCAAATCTATTGTATGTATGGTAAAAACCATTATGATTAGTGTAATACAAATAATAGTAAAAAGCATAATAATTACTCATAATTAAAGTAACAACTACACTGCAGGAAGACTGTCTCTGAAGAACATCTTTGTACATGTTGACATACGGTTATGCAGGTATTGGGCATGGGGGCAGCAAATTAAGTGAAATACAGAATAGTTGCCCAAACGGTAGAGAGTCCAGCCATCACTGTAGCTCACATTGCAATCCTTGAAGGTTGTAGAAATGTGACTTGCCCGTAAGTGTCTTAAATTACATCATCATCCTGTTTAGTAGCCCATAATTGGGGAAGTGCATAGTTGGCTCAGAGATTATTTGTTTTCTTCCTTCACTTTCAAGACCTGTTCTGAATATCTGAAAGGAGTAGGTAGAGATTTTTGCCTGGTATCTGACATTTCTTGAGAACCAGTTTTGTTACAATCTTCAAATGTTTGTTTTAAACCTATCAAACTGTATAAATCTTTAGAAGAGACAGTTGGTAAGAAGTTCAGTACAGGCTGGAATATAGTTCTACTTAAGTTTGTGAGTGTTCTTCAGCTGGCTTCAAAGATGTCCAGTGGGCAAAGTGGGCTCTAGTGGGCAAAAAAAGACAGTTCTTTGTTATCTGTGGGATATTAAGGCATCTTCTGGCACAGCATTTGTGTTGTCTGCTTCTGTATCTCCTTTGGAGACCTTGAAGACTGAAGATGTGGTTAGACTTCAAACATGACAAGGGTGCACAATGTTACATGTCATCTTTAGTCATCTAACATAAGTGAAGTAGAAAGTGCATATTTAGGAGACTGTGGTCTTTATGGAATGAGTGCAGGAAAGTAGATGCCTGTGAGATGGGATGGGTTGTAGCATTCAAAAAATTAGTGTAGGTGTCTAAAATGGATTATGAGAATATCTAATCGGAAGCAATAATGATGTCTGCTTCATTATTCTTCCCATACTGGAGAAGAAACAGGAAAAAGGGAACTAGTGGACTGCTGCTTACTTTTAGCAAATTTTACTTGATAGAATTTCATTTATAATGTAACTTGACAGAATTTTCAGGTATGATACACAATTATATATATTCTTAATTAAACAGTATTAATTATTTTTTATACTGTAAAGACTATGAAGAAGAAATACCTAACATTGGACTAATCTCAGTGAAATCTGATCTTGTTGAAGATTATGCTGGAGATGTTTTGAAAGACCTACCTGTTTTAGAAAGGTACATATATGAGTTTTAGTTTAATGAAATAACATTATATGGGCTTATTTTCTACTCCCCTGCACTTTACATCCATATTATGCTCAGTTTGTACAAATGTAGAAGAGCTTTTGCTATGATTGTGTAAAATTTCACATTTACATGTACTGGTGTAAATATTAACAGAAAGTTCAGAACAAGAATGGATAAGAGTCAATATATCCATAATTTCTCATACTGTTCTTTGTTTGCGTTATAGTCTTTGATTCTTATTCTACATTCTGGAACTGTTTTTCTAAGTGTACAATTTGTATTTGAAAGGCCTTATCCTAAATTGCAAAGCTCAGATTGATTTCAGGAGAAGAAAAACATGAAATAAAAATACTGAAAAAAGAAAAAAAAAGAGATTATCCTTTACATTTGCTCTGCTACCTGTGGAAGTGGGTTCTGTGCTGCGCAATGAGTATTTTTTAGCCAGTGTGCGATTTATATAGTTACATTGCGTTCTGTGATTAATCTGTATGAAAATAAGTGAAAAAGTGGGGGTTTTCTTACTTTGTTTATTAGTATTTTTTTTCTGAAAAACTGAGGGTATCTTCACATGCTATATTGGAGAATTAAACCCTATGTTGGTTTTCTGCCACAGTAAAACTGTGTTTTGATAAATATCCAGTTTTTTGAATGTTTTGAATGTTTCGTTAGAGATGCTGGAAAACACTTTTAATTTATGCTCTGTTTAATGTTTGTATATTTAGCAATGATCCTGCAGTTACTTCACTTATTAAATACAAGGAATTTGATGAGCTTTGTCACTGGCATTCTGGCAGACCTTTAACTGAGGAATATGAGCGAGTACAGTGCAATGCTGATGGTAAGAAAAACTAACATGAAGCCCATGTGTCTATGTTGATTAGAACAGTATTGTAAAGGTTACCGTGATTTTGGAGAAGGACTTCTCATTTCAGAAAATATTTGCAGCTGTATAAATACTTGCCAAACCAGAGCTACTGCAATAACTAAGTTATACTTAAACTGATGTGCCTGTGCATTATGTGTATGTGTTGTGTGTTATCTTAAATAGGTCTAACGAGTATAACAGAATGAGCATTTTTGGTCAGATGTTTATGATACATTCCCTTTTGCTTGCAAAATGCTTCACAGATTTATATAAGCAAACTGTATGTACATGAGCAGTTTAATGTTTAAATATGTACTTTGGATAACGCTTGGTAAGCACATCCATACATATGCAAAATCTGCTCAGATGTTTGCACAGTGCAGGCATAGCCAATCTTATCTCTTGAGAACAGAATTAAAATAAGAAGTAAAAGAAGTTGTTGTGGTTTAACCCCAGCTGGCAACTAAGCACCACACAGCTACTTGCTCACTCCCCCAGGCCCTGGCGGGATGGGAGAGAGAATCGGAAGGGTGAAACTGAGAAAACTTGTCGGTTGAGATAAAGGCAGTTTAACAGGTAAAGCAAAAGCTGCACACGCAAACAAAGCAAAATGAGGAATTCTTCACCACTTCCCATCGGCAGGCAGGTGTTTAGAGCCATCTCTAAGTAAGCAGAGCTCCATCATGTGTAACGATTACTTGGAAAGACAAATGCCATCAGTCCAAACATCCCCCCCTTCCTCCTCTTCCCCCTACTTTTACTGCTGAGCATGATGTCATATGGTATGGAATATCCCTTTGGTCAGTTGGGGTCCGCTGTCCCAGCTGTGTCCCCTCCCAACTTCTTGTGGCGCCTCCCCCAGCCTGCTTGCTGGTGGGGTGGGGTGAGAAGCAGAAAAGGCCTTGACTCTGTGCAAGCACTGCTCAGCAGTAACGAAAACATCCCTGTGTTATCAACACTCTTTTCATTAAAGATCCAAAACATAGCCTCATGCAAGCTACTATGAAGAAATTTAACTCCATCCCTCTAAAACCAGCACAGAAGTAAACAAAAGTTGTTTGTATCATAATTCTTGAGGTTATGCATTATAGTTTCCTGTAAGTTTTTTCCAGTTTGAGATACTAAGGAAAACAAACCATGGACTTAGTTTTGATCTTAGATTTGCATATTTACATGAAATGAAGTATATAATACCGTATGTACCAGCAAGTACACAAAGCTTTCTCTCCAAGATGTTCCCATCATCTATTGCGTCATACAGTGAATTAAACTGTGACAAACCTACCAGGAGTTGAGAAGTCATGGATTACTGTTGGTACTTCTAGTATCGCTTATGGTTTTCATTCAGTGACTTAGAAATGTTGCTTCCTGAGTGAGTATTTGCACCACTTGACGTATGAAACCAGGGTTCCATCTGCTCACCTTTCTGACTGGATGATTTTTTGCATTTTTTCGTGCACTGTGATTTCAGCGGGAGGTTTAGAGACCATAACTTGCAGAAGAGTAGCTAGAGCACCTTCCATAATGTTGGAGTTGAAGGTTTATGTCCACTCCAGCTGAAGAGAGTGCCTTCTCTCTTCCCTGCCTTGCATGAATACTCTGAATGCTGGCATATGTCATCTCAGTCTTTCCTGTGAAAAACAAAGATCTGAGATGGGTCTTCACACTCAGAAACTGACTCACTGTTTTGATTTTAGGGCAGAGAGAAATAGCTAGGCTTGAGTGTGGAAGTATCCACGTGCTCAGTTCATTATCTTCCATTGGCTAGCATAAGTGTTCTTCCAGAAGCTTTATTCATGTTCTGAGGACAGTCTTGTTTTCATGGGGAAGAGATCTCTTTCTGATCATCTGAAATGCCTTTGGAAGACACCTTCCCATTTTCATGGACTGTGTGAGAAGCCTAGGCATTTTGCTGAGTTATAATTTCTTTCCAGGCATCCTGCTTGTTAAGTTTTCCAGTATTTTTAATGTGTGCCTAAAGTAGTTTGAATTCAAGTCTATTGACTATCTGTCAGATAATTCAAAGTACTGTTGGATTTCAGTGAGTCTTAGTAGCCAGCCTCTTTCAAAATGTGATTTTGGCCTTTAGGTCAACGAGGAACTTTTAGGAAATTTATCCATTACCCAGGTATCTCTTCTTGGAAATAGATTAGGCTGGAATTCTATCAGAGTGTTTTTTAATCAATTATATTTGTTGGCAGCAAAATCCAAAGATCCAGAAGAAAGAAGACAAATACAAAAGTTACAGACTTTTCGTCATTTTTATGGAAGCACTTTGGAAGACAGCACTTCAAAACTTATTGTACATCAAGAGGATGTGTCAGGGAATGCTAATGCTGCTGTCAAAAAGACACAAAAAAAGCATGTGAGTCTATTCAAGTTGCCCTTTCCAAATCTTTTTTCTATTATCCAGGAAAGGATTTCTACTATATGAGTCCCGCCGCTGAAGTTTTATATTCTGAATGCACTGGTAGTTCTCAGATGAAGAAATTTAAATTGCCTTTGTACTTAAAAATTAATTAGCTAATTGGCAAGAGTATTTTTGTTCCTAGTTAGGAATACTGATGAGTGATTATATTTTAACAGGCACAAGTAAATAAAAAATTTAATATATATGAACTCTGTAAAGGCTGATAGGTTTTGGCTCATGGCCAGTATTATAATGTGGAGTGAAGGAAACTGGAGTTCATGAATTTAATTTTACTTTAAGAAACTGTTGAGAAATACTGGAAAAACCATTATTCAGTTATTTATTTCCCTGCCCTATTTGGAAACATTCTCTGTGAAAGATCCTGTAGGTATTGCCATTAATTGTAACTATGTGAACGTTCTCAGACATCACAGGTTGTGTAGCATGTACTTGCATGCTCATGAAGAATACTGAGCAATAATAATTTAAGTAATATTTCATAATAGACTGTACTATGGATTATAGATTATGGCCTGTTGAATTACCTGTAAAAGTCTATATATAAAATAACTTTGTTAACTTCAAGTAAAGTTGAACTCTGATTTTTATTTAACTTATTGAAAAGCATCTCAGTATGATCAGAATTACTATTACCTATGTATAAAATAAAAGCTTGAAATTTAACTTTCAGACATCTGCTATTTTATTTTTCCACATTTGTGCTTTTTTATACTACTTGTGAAGCTTTATACTGACTTAAAATGAAGCTTAGGGAAGCTCTTTTGAGCACCATATATTGGGATTCAGAAATTATATCTCCTTCAGAATGAAGTATTATTTTAAACAATTCCCAAAACACAATGCATCACACAGATGAATTGAAACCTATAATGTACCTGCTGTGACTGAGTTTACGGATTAACTTTTTTTAGATGATGCTTGCACACAGTGATGGTTAGTTCTAAATATCTTCATTTTATTCGATAGAAAAGTAAAGCGGAAACAATTGCAGAGGAAAACAGCAGGCGACTAAAAACTAAAGAAGAAAAGAAAGAACAGGAGCAATGGAAAGCCTTGTGTGTACCAACTGAAAAGGAAATAAAAGCAAATCTGACTGTTGGAATAAATAAATTGGAGAAGTTTCTCAAGACCCTTAAAACTAAATCTGTGAAGTTCAGCGCAGAAATGACAGGACTGTCTGCCTGTTTAGAAGTGTGGAAGGAACACTGCAGAGAGAAAGGTATGATAACCAAATTCATGTTCAGTATTCAACTTCCGCTCCCTTTACCCAAGAGAGTGAGTGACGTTGGACATTCTCAGCTGGAATAAAGGTGTGTAAATACAGCCCTGTTTCAGGAACATGAAAGATGTGGCCCCCTTTTGCAATTTCAAGATCCTTTGAGTCAGCCGTAAAGTATCCAATGAAATTAGATTATAGCTTTTTTCCTGTTTTGCTTTGTAAACTTTGCATACATAAATTATTTATTTTATT